ATGTTTAAATGACAATAATAAAAACAAGAAAATAACAAAATAACTCATCAAAAATAGTGATAAATCACAAAATAACAATGAAAAGAAAAACAAATCAAAGTATTCAATAATTTCAATCAATTAATGAAAATAATTAATGAATGATGATGAATAACAAAAGTAAAATAACAAGTAGAAATGATGGAGAAATGAGGTAATGATGATATCATCCGAATTCACTGAGACAGTTGTATAAAATGAAGAAAGAGACGAAGAGAAAAATCAAAACAAACACCAAATAACATAAAATGAAAACAATAAGAACAAATAGAAAAAGATAAATAACACACAACAAGAATAACAATACAAAATAACACTCTAAAATCAATTTAATAAGAAATTTAACACAGAAAAATAGAAAAACAGAGAGTGATAATAAATATATAACAATAATGATAACAACATCAAGATGAAAAATAAAGAAACAAAGAATAAGAAATAAATGAACAAAAACAAGAATAATAAACAAAAAATAAGAAATAAAAATAAAAAAATCAAAAATCTTCTATTTAAAAATTATGTCGGCGTCATGGTAGATTGTTTTTATCATAATAGAGTATACGCTGTATAGTGGTCTTTATAGAGCAACAAACAATAGAAACTAATTCAGTTATATTAATTAACTACTTTTTAATTTCATTTTCATTACTTCGCTATGAATAATTAAATGTTATGTAAAACATAATACTTTTTTGTTAAAAGATAACTTCTAGATTTCTTAGATATTTATTCTTCCAAATGTTTTACAAAAATAAGGGCAGAATGGAAAAAAGGGATTTATAAAACTAAAAAAGAAACAATGTCATCTCATACTGGGGTTGTTGTACCATTAAGTTCAGTTTGTTTAATGGAAGTTTTAACGAATAAAAACATAAAAAAGAAAAGAATTAATTGGAGGTAGGGATCTGAAACAAGGTCACGAAGGAAAGTTTGTAAAAATTATTATTAAATAAAAGACGAGGTACTAATGGAGTAGAGTTATAATCCAATTGCAAAACTTGGAGGAGGATCACCATCAATTTCTTCATCTGAAATTGATTCAATTAAACGGCCACCATCACAGTCTTTTATTATATATGGGTCTCAACATAGAGAACAATCACCAAGTGATTTTACATCATTACTTTCACCATGCCAAAATGACCAACATAAATACAAAAAGAGAAAGGGTTTATTTCATATTGGTTTAAATAAACTTGACTTAAAAGATAGAACCTTTAATGAACTACCATGTGTTGTACATGAAATACTTCTATTTTTATATCATTCGTTATTATTTGAAAATGAATATTTTGAAGATAAACCAATAAGTTATTTTAAACTTCGATTTGAAACGTCGCGTACTGTAGTAAAAGAAAATAGTCAATTAATGATAAGTCAAATAGATAAAATGAGTATTGAAGAGTTACTAAAAAAGGGATTTACTATGAATGATAGTTATTTACTAAAACAGAAAGCACAAAGTGAAGAACGATGTCATTTCTTTTGTTTGTTATTAAATTTAAATGAAAAAATCAATAGAAATAAGAATTAAATAATAGATAATATGAATTTAAATAATGGAATTACTAATGAAGAATATGTTACATTAAACCATTTAGTAAGACGTTATAACAATGAAACAAAACCTAATTTATATAAAGAAGTTGATGTAAAAATGGGGTTTTTGTTATTAAAGAATTACTTATTAAATTTACCAGTACCATTACTTAGTAGTAATTTATTAAATAAGTTAGATATGGTATTAATGATGAAAGAAAAAATAAATAAAGATAAAATGGCACAATTATTTATTGAAGAAATTAAAACATCAATTTTAGAACATTTAAATGGAGAAAATGAATGTAGATTTGAAATAATAAAAGAAATTATTTTATTTATTAAATTTGTTTGTCAAAAACACAATATAATTAAAGAAGAAAAAGAATCAATGTATCTTTGTTATTTTAATGCAATGTTACAAAATAATTTCTTTAGAAAAGAATATATTGAAATAATAGAACGAGTATTTTATAATGAAATTTATTCAAAGGAA